ATGCTGTTTTTAGAAAAGAGAATTGATTTTAACAAACGAGTTCACACATCCCGCGCTCTTGCAAACATCCCAACCACCCACCCGCAACTTGGTTTGCAAAATCTCTTAAGACCGTGACGGTGGGTACCAAATGGTACTTGGCAGCGGCAGCGACGCCGACGACGACAGCGACAACGACGACGACGACGACGACGCCGCCGACAACGACTACGACGACACCGACGACGATGACGCCGACGCCGACGCCGACGACGACGACGATGGCAACGACGACGACGGTGACGACGCCGACGACGACGACATCGACGACACCGACGACGACGACGACGTCGCCAACGAAGACGACGACGAGGGAGGACGGACGACGACGACGGCGACAACGACGACAACGACGACAACGACGAGGGAGGAGGGAGGACGGCGACGACGCGAACGACGAAGAAGGAGGAAGGACGGCGACGCCGATGACGACACAGACGAGGGAGGAGGGAAGACGACGACGACGACAACGACGACGACGACGACGACGGCGACGACGGACGACGACGACGACGAGGGAGGAGGAGGAGGAAGAACGACCACGGCGACAACGACGACGGAAACGACCACGACGCCAAAGAGGACGACGACGACGAACACGAGGAAAGACAGAGGACGACGCAGGCGACGACGACGACGCGGGAGGGGGGAGGACGGCGACGACGACGACGACGACGACGCAAGAGCGCGCGCGGACGCTTTTGTTGAAAATGCGTGTTGCGACTCCTTGTATTTTTGTAGGCTTTTTGGACATACGATGTTGAAATCCTTCCGAAACCGATGGGTTTTGAAGGATTTCGGCATGCGCGCGCGACGACGCGCGCGTCTGCACTTTGCCTAATTCTGTTTCAGAAGATTCTCGCGACGGCACACGCGCAAGGGCGTTCGACAGATTTCGACATGCGCGCGCGAAGCCCGTTTGGTAGCATTTTGTGTAAATCTTGAAAAACCTATGGTTTTCGTACGATTTCGCAAGACCTCGCGCGTAAGCCTTTTTAGCAGATCAGTGTTGCGAAACCCTGAGTTTTTGTATGTGTTTGGGAAACTCGATTGCGAAATCCTTCCGGCACCGAAGGTTTTTGAAGCATTTCGGCATGCGCGCGCGACGACGCGCGCGTGTGCACTTCGTCCCGTTTGTTGGAAGGGATTCGCGAAAAAGTGTTATGTTTGAACATAAGATGTCCCCGCGGGAACCTCAGGGGGAGCGGTACCAGCTCCTCGGGGATAGTGTGAATTCATATTTCGGAAGGACATGTGGTCAGAACCATATCTGATTTACATACCCGAAAGGGGGGCGGCGAACGCCGGGGGGGGGTAGAGTTTATTATCTTTTTAGAACGGAGAATTCATTCTGATTGTCTTGAAATTGTCCTCACCACTGCTCTTGCAAACATCCCACCCTCCCACCCGCAACTTGGACGTAAGACTTCTTCAGACCGTGACGGCGGGTACCAAGTGGCTCTTGGCAACGACAGCGACGCCGACGACGACAGCGACAACGACGACGACGACAACGACGACGACAACGACGACGACCTCTACGACGACACCGACGACGTCTCCGACGACTTCGACGACGACGACGATGACAACGATGACGACGGCGACGGCGACACCGACGACGACGACGACGACGACGACGCCGACGCCGACGACGAAAACGACGCCGACGCCGACGACGACGACGGCGACGATGACGCCGGCGACGAGGACGACGACGACGACGAAGTCGACGACGACGACGACGACTACGATGACGACGACGACGGCGACGACGATGACGACGACAACGATGCCGACGACGACGACGAAGACCACGACGACGACGACGACGACGTCGCCAACGAAGACGACGACGAGGGAGGAGGGAGGACGACGACGGCGACAGCGACGACAACGCCGAGGGAGGAGGGAAGACGGCGACGACGCGAACGACGAAGAAGGAGGGAGGATGGCGACGCCGACGACGACACCGACGAGGGGGGAGGGAAGACGACGACGACGAAGGAGGAGGAAGGACGACCACGGCGACAAAGGCGACGGAAACGACGACGACGCCAAAGAGGACGACGACGACGACGACGAGGAAAGAGGACGACGACGGCGACGACGACGATGAGGGAGGAGGGAAGTCGGCGACGACGACGACGACGACGACGATGACGACGACGACGACGACGCAAGAGCGCAAGCGCACTGAACATCCGTGTTGCGAGACCTTGTGGTTTGTATTTTGTTTTGGAAATTCGATTCTGAAATCCTTCCGAAATCGAAGGTTTTTGAAGGATTTCGGCATGCGCGCGCGACGACGCGGGAACGCGTGCACTTCGTCCCGTGTTTTGCAGAAGATTCTCGCGACGGCACGCGCGCAAGGGCTTTCGAACGATATCGATATGCGCGCGCGAAGCCCGTTTGGTAGTATTTGTTGGGGGAAATATTGGAAAACCTATGGTTGCCTCAAGATTTCGCAAGAGCGCGCGCGTAATGCGTAATCTGTTTTAGGGGATCAGTTTGTATGTTATTGTTGTATGTGTTTTGGAAACTCGATTTTGAAATCCTTCCGAAACCGAAGTTGTTTGAAGGATTTCGGCATGAACGCGCGACGACGCGCGCGCGCGTGCACTTCGTCACATTTGTTGCAGAAGATTATCGCGACGGTACGCGCTGAAGGGCGTTCGAAAGATTCCGACATGCGCGCGCGAAGTCCGTTTGGTAGCATTTTCTGAAAAGCTTGAAAAACTATTGTTTTCTTAAGAGTTCGCGAGAGCGCACGCGTAATCTGTTTTAGGAAGTCAGTGTTGCGAAACCCTGTGTTTTTGAATGTTGTTTGGCAATTCCATTTTGAAGCCCTTCCGAAACCGAAGGTTTTTCAAGGATTTCGGCATGCGCGCGCGACGACGCCACATTTCGCTGCAAGGGATTATTGTCAACTTGTGGTTTTTGACAAACGAGTGTGCGCGCATAGTATCTTGTGCACAGGATGGCGGAGGGTCGATACTGGCTTGGCTGGGATAGTATGAATTCACAGGTAGGATGGACATTGGGTCAGAATCCTATGTGTTTTGCATCGGTTCCCGGGTGATCTTTAACCCCGGGGCGGGGGGAAGGTCGTAGAACTTGTTCCCTACCTAGGCTCTGCCTAGAAGGGTTCTTACTCGGTATGCTTAAAGGGCCGGGCAGTGTAACCCGCCCCGGGCGGTTCCCCGAGCATCCGCCCCGCGGTTCCCCCAGTCCCATGGGAGCTTTAGCTTTATCTTAGCTTCAGCTTAGCTTTAGCTTAGCTTTAGCTTAGCTGTAGCTTAGCTTTAGCTTAGCTTTACCTCAGTTGTACCTTAGCTTTAGCTTAGCTTTTTGCTTAGATGTTCCTTCGCTTCAGCTAAGATTTAGCTTAGCTTTAGCTTAGCTTCAGCTTAGCTTCAGCTTAGCTTTAGCTTAGATTTAGCTTAGCTTCAGCGTAGCTGTAGCTTAGCGTTAGCTTAGCGTTAGCTTAGCTTTAGCTTAGTTTTATGTTAGATTCAGCTTAGCTTTAGCTTAGCCTCAGCTTTGACTTAGCGTTAGCTTAGCTTTAGCTCAGCTTCAGTTCAGCTTTAGCTTTAGCTTAATTAGAGTTAGCTTAGCTTTAGCTTAGCTTGAGCTTAGTTTTTTATTAGCTTTAGCTTAGCTTTAGCTTAGCTGTAGCTTAGCTTTAGCGTAGCTTTAGCTTCGCTTCAGCTTAGCTTTAGCTTAGCTTTAGTCTAGTTTTAGCTTACCTTTAGCTTGGCTTTAGCTTTGCTTTAGCTTAGCTTTAGCTCAGCTTTAGCTTAGCTTTACTGTTACTACTAATGCTGCTTTCCTAGGGGCTCCAACTTCTAGGTGGGGTCGCACTGGGATGTTTTTTTTTAGAAAGGAGAACCGACGTTGTGCAATCCAGGGCGGCGGCGATGTGACGGGGCGGCGACGGCGGCCTCACAGCCGCCAGCCCGAAGACACGGCCCAGACGACGGGCGGCGTGACGAGGCGCCGATGGGGCGGCTACGGCGGCCACATAGCCGCCAGACCGAAGACTCGGCCCAACTCCTTAGAACAGACGTAAAAGATCCTGAGTGCAAGCGCTGCTTGAGGAATGTATCGGAGGTGAGGGGGTGAGATCGAAGTGGAACGGAGGGCCCCCCACTGAGACATCGGTTTCGGGTGCGTGTCGCGCGTGCGGGCGAGGCGAAGTTGCGCGGGCGGGTGAGAGGAATCACTCCGCTGTTGCTAGGGCGGGGCAACACAATTGTCCGAACCTCCCCTGGTGGGCGGGCGGTGGCCGGGTTGTCCCGCCATGGTGTCCCGTCGGTGTTTTGTCGGTGTGCCGTCGGTGTCTTGTCGGCGTCCAGTTGGTATCCCGTTGCTGTCGCGTCGTTGTCCCGTCCTTGTCTTGTCGGTGTCCCGTCGGTGTCCCGTTGGTGTCCCGTCGGTGTTCCGTCAGTGTCCCGTCGGTGTCCCGTCGTTGTCCCGTCTGTGTCCCGTAGTGAGATCAAAGTGAGATCGACAGTGAGATCGATAGTAAGACCGAACAATAGCGATCGTGAGATCGATAGCGTGATCAATCGTGAGATCGATAATGAGGTCGATAGCGAGATCGATAATGAGATCAACGGCAAGATCGATCGTAAAATCGATGGTGAGATCGATAGTGAGGGATAGTGAGATCGATTGGGTGAGACGTTGGTTACCTCCCCCCCGAACCTCCTCATCACCCGAAGGGTGGTCGTATAGGTAAGTATAGGCGTGACGATCATGCATATCATGTGTTTCTGTGCTCTGGATTGCACGTCCATCCGACTCCGTTTTCCCTAGGCACTCCATATCTGTCCCTCTGATGGTCGCCCGTTGCAGATGGGACAACGTGCGATTACCATCGTAGGTTGTACACATGGACATGCACACATGCGCTGTGCTGAATGCGCACGTTGCCAAGGCCTATCCGATCGCCCGAGGTTCAAGACGATGATCAAGACCGGCATCAGCCCGACGCACGACTCCTTCGCTGCCATCATGACTGCAGCTGCCAAGAGCGGGGACATGGCACTCACGGAGTTCTGGCTCCGGGCCCAGTGCGCGCAGACAGGTTAGGGAATTGCAGGATCGGGCCTGGAGAGCAGCGGCGTGAGCGGCAGCGCCAGGCTCTGAATCATCGCTCCGCCGCTCGCGGAGACGCCTGCCAGCCTCATGCCTGCGCAGCGCTCTCCTCGGCAGCTTCCGAAGTTGGCACGGCTCTTGCAGCATTCCGGGCGTGCAGCGGCGCGTGAAATGCTGGATCCGCACGGACGGTCCGGTAAGGGGGGACAGATATTAAGATGGGATCGAGGGCTGCAGGAAGGCGCCCCCCGACGGTGCACGAAAGGTGTTCATTTCTTCACCCCCGCCCCCGCTCAGTGGTAGTTGTTGAAGCGGGCGTCTCGTATTCCCCCCAAGCTCGGCTTCGAGGCAACATTGGGGGAGTCGACCCCCTATCGGGGATGGGTGGGAATCGCGGACCCGTGGCGAAGCGTGGCTTCGAGTTGCGCTCAGGGTGGGAATCGTCGACCCCCGATCGGCCACTCATCGCAAATAAGGGCCTGATGGCCCACCCAGCCCGTGAACGAGCGGCTTCGTTATCGGGGGCCTATCGCCGATCGATCGGCGATCTATCACCAATTTCAGCTCGATGATTCCTCCCCCGAGCCACTTCTCCCCTGAGGTTCCCCCTTCACTGGTGCGCGTCGATGCTCCGATGGCTCCCCGGGAGTTCCAGGCGCCTGGTGGCCGCCCGTGTGCTCCGGCGCCTGCGCGCAGGGCCTCAGACGTCGCAGCCCACGCGCAGCATCGCGCGGAGCGCACTCTGGCTGGACGCTGCGAGGTTGGAGCAAGCCGGAGCCCCGCTCCTCGGGGGGCCGAACACGAGAAGGCGTAAGTGTCGTGAGCTACGTGGTGGGAGCTGCGTGTCTGGAGGCTTCTGCGGCGCGGGCGCTGTCGTGCAGGCCGCGCGGTGGAAGCTTTATGTGGCGTGAGCGCAGTGCGCTGCCAGCCACGCTGCCCACGCCAGGCGCGGGGCGCCCACGAGGCGCCCACGGGCCGGCACGGGCGCCAGCGCGGCGAGACCACGGCGGACCCGCCCGGGGCAAGGAGCCCCCCCCACGGGGCGCCCACATCAAACGACGCGAAGATCGGGACAAAATCGGATCGGGATAACTCGAAATCTCTGAGAATCGGCGGGTGTGGAGGATGTATTGGGCGCCGCGGCCGCTGCAGAGCGTTCCGGAACGCTCTGATAGCGCTCCGGAACGCTCTGGAGCGATTTATCCCGATCCTAGCCCTGTTTTACCACAGGGCGACACGGGCGCCAGGGCGGGCAATACCCGGGAAGTCCGTCCAGTCTCAAGCAGTGGCGAAGCGTCTTGGCGTGCCGATAGTCCTACCGAACAAGGTTCTAAAAACCAGGTGTGGTTCCCACGAAATGTTCTTAGGACATTCGTGGTTGGGACTGCCTTGTTTTATCACGTCGGGTTGATGTTCTAAGAACATTGTTTTTGTTATTAGAACGGTTTTGGGTTGTCAGAACATGTCGTGGTAGGACTACAGGAATGCCGGTACGGTCGGTCCCTGCTCAACAGTCCCTGAAGGACCTCAGGCGGGAACCCCCACGGGCAAGCGCTTTTGGGTGAGCACCTTCGAGCCTCGATCCTCGTCGTCGCCCTCCCCCCTGCCGCGGCACCGATCTGCGGCGCGCGCACTTGGCCTCCGCAGTGCCTGCCGGGCCGCGGCCTCGCAGCGCCGGCCGATCACCGCCACCGAGGTTCGACGAGTGCGTGCGGGCGGGCGTGAGGCCGCGGGAGGCGCACTTCCAGATCTGCATGCAGGCCTGTTCTCCCGACGCGGGCCGCCCCCCGCGCGCTCGCCGCAGCCCCGCTGCGTGAGAGTGCCCCCGCGCCTGGCTCACCTCCCTCCGCGGCCGCCCCCTCGCCTCCCCCCCTCTTGCGTGCGGGTGAATTCGCGACGCCGTGCCCCGGTCTCGCCCAGACGCGCGTGCGGATCGCCTCTGCCGCGCTGTGTCGTAAAAATGTTCGCCCGATGCGGTAGGCTCATGCGGCGATGGCGCGCCAGCGACGTTGGCGAAGGCGTTCAAGGTTGAATCCGAAAGCGCGGAGGCACCAAGGGACGCGATAACGCCACTGGACCCGACGGACTTCAGCCTTACACGATCGGGGCCACGATCGCTTCAAAGTTGAGCGATCGATGTGGTGTCAAAAACCTTTACGCGCGCCGGCGCCGCACAAACCTACTGTAGGGGCTCGAGGTTCGATGTTCGAGATTCGCTGTCGGGAGGTTTTTGGTCGTCCTGGGGGTGCCCTCGTGGCCACGACCACGACTGGATCCGCTTCGAATTCTCCGTCAGAACGCATCCCAGCAGAGGTCCAGGGCGCGTGAATCCAGGATCGAGGCGTTTGCTCGATCTGGCGTGTCCTGGGCGTCCAGAGGCACCCCGACGAGCCCTCCAGGGACCACTGAGGACCTCCTGAAGGAGCAGGATGGCGAGGTAGAGGGCGCGGAGGACGTCTCTGGGCTGCTAGAACGACGCTAGCAACGCTTGCCCCACGCAGCCGTCAGTGAAGTGGTGGGGTCGTGGGCACGCTAGAGAGGCGCCTCCGCAGACCCCGCAGTTCTGTCAACGACCCTCCCCCAGAAGTCGTCCAGCTCCACCTGTACACGGGAGCGGCACGCCTCTCCTAGGGAGAGTTTGACATTGTACGGGTGCTTGTAGATGCGAAGGAAATAGAAGAAGAGGAAGAAGAAGAAGAAGAAGGAAAACTATGAGGAGGAAGACGATGAGGAGGAGGAGCCCCCCCTGCGTACCCTATCTTGACTGCGCCCTGGGCACGTGCCGTGCCGTTCGGTGCACACCTGCAGCCATCATTAATGGGATAAGCCACAGGCATACTCTCGCAGCCCAGAAGCATGCTCAATAAGTCAGAATCAGAACGAGATGTCCAGCACACGCAAGCAGGAGCTTCGGAATTTGCCACCCACGAACGCATGTAAGTGTGATCAGTATCATCATCACGCTTATCCTCGTCATCCTGACCCTCATCCTAAGCCGATGCATATCGCTGATCCCGTTTATCCCCATCCCCTCATAATCGTCAGAATTATCATCATAATCCGCGCCATTGCCATTCCCATTGCCATTACAACTAGCATCACCAGCATCATCACCAGCATCACCATCCTGCTCAGACATCGCTTCACTATCACATACTGAACGCCTACCATTCACAATATCATAACATGAATCCCTCTCTGCCCCATCCTCCTCTCAATTGCTAGCATCGTCCTCGTCCCATCTTCCTCCTCGGCATCATCCTAGTCATCATCATCATCAGCATCATCGTATGTTTCATCATCATTTTCTTCATGAAACCTCCGTCGGCACCCCCCTCTTCATCCGCATCATCCTCATCCCCTGCCTCGTCAAGAACATCCCTGTCCTCATCTTCATCCTCTTCCTGATCATAGTCCCGCCATCCTTCTCCCCATCCCCCTCATCCCACCCTCCAAGCCCCCACCCCTCCTCCCCCTTCCTACCCCCGTCGGCGGGGCGGGGGGGGGGCCTGGGGAGGAGGACGCGGAGGAGGAGGAGGAGGAGGATTAGGAGGAGGAGAAGGTGGAGGAGAAGGAGGAGGAGGAGGAGAAGGAGGAGAGGGGGGGGGGGACCTGGGAGGAGGAGGGAGGGGCATTCCTACACCCCCCACTCCACCCCTCCCTCCGCACCATGTTGCTCCCGCTGTGCGCGCCGCCCCTTTTGCGAAGCCTGTCACCCGCCGCATTGGTTGCAGAACATCTCCCCCGGACGGGTCCCCCGATCGTGCTCCTCGCCATTCGCGGGCCTTCCCCCTCGGGGCTGCTCCAGCCAACCCTGCGCGACGCCCCGCCGCCCCCTGCCGCATGGTGAGGGATTCGGATCGGGGGGGGGGGGGGGGACCACTCCTCCGCCGCTCCCCGTTTACCTCCTCCTCCTCGTCCTCCTCCTCCTCCTCATCCTTCTCCTTCCCCTCCTCCTTCTCCCCCTCCTCCTCCCCCTCCCCCTCCCCGTGTACCTCCTCCTCCTCCTCCTCCTCCTCCTCCTCCTCCTCCTCTGAGTCCTCCTCTGAGTCCTCCTCTGAAACATCCTCCTTCTCCTCTTCCTCCTCCTCCTCTTCCTCTGAGTCTTCCTTTGAATCCTCCTCCCCCTCCTCCTCCTCCTCCTCCTCCTCCTCTTCCCCCTACTCCTCCGTCGCGGGACGGTAAGACCACACGCCATGGCGAGCCTTCGATTTCGTCGTCATTATCCCACCTCCGTAATCTCCTCCCCCTCCTCCTCCTCCCCCTCCTCCTCCTCCTCCTCCTCCTCATCCTCCTCCTCCTCCTCCTCCTCCTCTTCCTCTCCCTTCTCCGCACCATCGATCGTCGATCCTCGATCCTCTTCTCCTGACGTTGACGCCGCGGACTGCAGAGCCCCGAGTCCCCCTCCTCCTCTTCATCATTATCACCACAACCACCTCATCCTCCTCCTCACCATCACCGTCGTCCTCAGCATCATGATCGCCTCCATCAGCAGCATCAGCTGGTCATCATCAGCATCATCAGCATCCGTAGAATGTTTGGCTCAAGGCCAAGATGGTTACCTTCTAACTGCCTAAGCGGGTTGGCCTCCAATTAAATCGTCCCAACGTTTTCGCTCATGCGTCTGCACCGGCAACTAGGGGCGAGCTGCCACCTATTCCATATCTTCGCTGTTTCAGCATTCCATATCCTAGGTGTTGCTCTTCGGATGGACACCCTCCAGATTATCGACGCCGCAGCCCCCGTGAATGCAGGACGGCGCCCGTTGTCTTCAGCATGGCTTCGCGCAGCGGTTCAGGGTCCGGCTCTTTTTCCCGCAGCCCGCCCAGACAAGCTCGCAGGGCTCATCGACGTAGACATGCAGAGGCCAGTGGATCGCGTAGTGACAGGGGTCAGCGACGAGAGGTTTCCACGACTCCAGTTGCTAGCCGAGAATCGCGTCTCGAGCGACAAGGGCGTGCTACGAGGGAGAGCAAAGGTCATCAACGAGATCGCCCACAGCCGTCGGAAGGACGAGCTGGCAGCCCAGGCGGCGCAGCGTCGCAGGCTCGACGGGAACACCTACATCGACAACCACGTGACGAGCAGCAGTTACTGTACGACCTCGATTTCTTTGCTACATTCCCTGGTTCTGAACGGCCTCGACCTCATGACCCGCTTCGGGAACGTGATCCTGGGGCTGCCGCTGCTCCCACACCAATGGCTGGCACCGACACGCCTCCTGGCACAACAATGGCACGGTCTTTGCCTGCGCCAGGTGCGGGGCAGGTTGCTCTTGAAGTCAATATCACCCACGTATTTACAGAAAATGTGCAGATGGCTACATCAAGGCTACAAGCGGAGACGGTTTCCATCATGCATAACACCACGGCCACGCTTCACAAAGAGTTCGAGACCAAAATGGGTCAAGTTCGTCAGCAGGACCATCGCCTCGACGCCCTGGACACCGCGGTCCGCGACATCAACCAGCGCGCCTCCGTTGACGAGCAAGAGCAGCAGCAGCTCCGCTCCGACATCGAGCTCATCCAGGCCACGCTTGCTATGGTGGAGGCCACCCTCCCACCCCTGAACGCGGCGGCGCTCGCGATCTGGGATCGACCTCCAGACCCTCGCCCTGTCGCAGTCGGAGCGCCCTCGGCTGCCCAGCCCTCAGAAGTACGGCGAGCGCTGGAGCCTTGGATTGCAGCAGCGGGGGCCTCAGCAACAAATGTGGAGCTGGTGGGCGACGCCCAGCCCAGGCGCTTCTTTCTTCGGATGCTCGGCGGCGCAGCGGCTTCCTCTTGCAGGGCCCCACTTGCCCGCAACCTCCGACGTGGAGGTCGGTGGCGCACTTTCTCGGCCAACGCCGCGAGCGGGGCCCTCGCCCCGCTCCGCATCAGCAGCGACAAAAGCCTCAAGGCGCTCAGGCGAGAGCACCAGGCAAGGAAGCTCGCCCGCCCACTTGAGGAGCGACACGCAGGTCATTTCTATCGGAAGGTGGGGCGACGAAGGAATCATATCATGCGACCCCGCCCCTTTGTCTCGGTCGAAGCCGACTACAACGCAGCGGCCGCTGCTCAACTCAAATGGGGCGGGGCTGCCATCAACGCGGAGTTCCAACGACTAGTTCGCGCCGTGGATACCTCGCTGTGGCATGTGCAACAGTCGTTGTTCCCTTGGCAGGTTCTTTCCACAGAGTCTGGTCAACTGGCCTCTTGGAACGCCAGAGGCCTGCGCGGTCACTGCGCTCGGAGGCGCCGCGTGAAGCTTTCGCGACTGGGGAAATACATGAAGCGCGGTTCGCCCATCACGCTCCAAGAGACGCATGGCGCGCGTCAACAGCTCGAGGCGCTGATTGGCTCATTCCCGTTCCCCTGCAAAGTCCGGCAGTCGCAGGCCTCGCAGTCTCGCGAGGGGGGCGCAGCATTTCCTCTTCCGCGGTCGCGTGTTGCCCCCCCCCCCCCCCCGAGCAGCGACCGCGCGCTCAATTCCAATCTCTTGTTCCTGGCAGAGTGACTGTGACCAGCATTGATAGCCCTTGTGGGCAGTGCTTCATGAGGCTCATGAATGTTCGCAACAACGACATTATTTGTCAGTTCAAACCCAGCATTGCCAACGCGTGGAAGGAGGCGGACGGTTGGAACCACGGTGATACGTTACACGAAACGTTCATTGCCATGGGAGACTTCAATGTACGCGAGGAAGAATAGCTCAGCCATGGTGAACCGATACCAATGACCACACCGGTGGCCAGGACGCACCAACCAAATGCAATGTTCTG